AACAGCTTATATAAACATTTTTCTCCTTTTCCACTTTTGCCATGAACTGTAGATTCTTGACTCTCGCCCCTGACGTCTCCAGAAAACGTATTTTTTAAGCACTTTAAGGAATTTATTGAATACAAAACATGAACAACAACCTTTGTCAACTCACTCAGTTTGTACAGTTCTCCCAGTTTTCACAGTTACATTACATTTTTATTTGGCTGATGCTTTTATCCAAAGCTACTTACAATAAGAGCAAGAACCATAGAGATTCAAACAACAAAGAACGTCCAGATATCACTTCAATCAAGTCATACCAAGTGCTGGAGAATTAGTTACAAGGCCTAAATAAAGTGCTTCAGGTTTTTTTTTTCAGCAATAATTGAATTGCCAAGGTACACTCATAGATGGGTTTTCCGCTAGTTTCTGCTATCCTGATGTCAATGGGGAGCTCATTCCACCATTTAGGAGCCAGGATCGCAAACAGGCGTATTTGTGAGGGGTCCCGCTCGCAGAGATGGAGTAGCAAACCGATTGGCTGAGCGAAGTTTAACCAAGGCTTGGATGTAGGCATTGATCCGGATCCCTTCACAGCTGGGTAGGTCAGCACTAGTTGGCACTCGAGCTTCTGTCAAGTGTTGTTTTGATGCACAGTTTGCTGAGACTAGACTAGGTTTGGGTATACAGTAGATTAGTTGGTAAATAAGATTTATGTAACCAACATTAGATTGGAATTAATAATATAATAGACTATGGTAGATATGGTTAGATTAGTCATTTTTAATCTGGGGTCCATTGGGGAGTTTCAGGGGGTGTGAAAGTGTGCTCATGAGTTTAGCAGTGGTGGAGTAACGTGTACAATCAATTCAATATTGTACTTAAGTATAATTTTGAAGTACTTGTACCTGTTTTATCATTTCATGCAACTTGATACATCTACTCCACTAAATGTTTGAGCCAATATTTTCCTTTTCGTCCACTAAATGTATCTGACAGATTGAGATACTTTACAGACTACGATTATACGTCAAACTAAATAAATAAACGTGTAAATAAACATATATAATTACAGGTTAAGATATCCAACCGCAGGATGTAAAGTAATTGAAACTATCTCCACGTTTATCAGCTGTGATGAACACATGAATCCCATCAATAGTGTTTTATTGTCAGAGTTTATAGATTTTGTTATCTTCACGGCCTACTGGATATTTTCTATTCTATTCTATTTTGAGATGTTTAAATTCTAGTATTGTTTATTTCTACTCTTTAATTGTGTAATGTCTTGTTTTGTGTTGTTGTTTTTTGCTGCAACGCAAACATTTCCCAATTTGGGATCAATAAAGTACCTCTTATCTTATCTTATCAACTATCACGTCACCACCGCTAAGCTAAAGGTGCTAACCAAAACACAAAAGTGAACCTGTGCTGTTAAAATGCTGACTCCTTTCTGGGCTTAAGGACTCATTCCTTCACTACTCTACGCCCCTATACCCTTCCCCAGGCAGCGACAAATAGGACAATATGTAAGTTGTTGTTTTCCATGTGGAGGACAGCTCCATGCATGAGGCTTATTGGAGATATTCCTCACAGAGCGGGTGATTGGGAACATAAAGCAGAACCTCGGGCCTGCTCCTGTGATGTGTCTCTGCAGGAGAAACTCATTAGCGCTGAGTAATGAGCCTCCTGCTAATACAGCCGCACAATTATGCTCTCTATCACAGGCTACGTGAGCGGTGGGCATTTTTCAATTTAATTAAACAGTCAGTAATCTGGTTGTAAAAGCTTCTGAGGTTTCCTTCTGTGATGTCACACGGATATCAGAGCAAAGCGCTGTTTGATGAGTCGCTGTTTCTGCCCCACGCACTGTAAAGCTAATTGATGCAGATGTTTCCATACGGAGATATCTTTAAGGTCACCTATTATGCAAAATAATAATAATCCTCTCATATGTTCATGCTCACCAGAGGATGAATCCTTACAACTTTCCCTCTAGTTCCACTGGAAGCAATTTAGATTTTTAAATCTGTTAATGACAAATCCATAGGGGTGGAAGAAGTATACAAATATTTAGGTAAGTAAAAGTACTAATACTTCATTGTGAAAATGCTCTGTTCCAAGTTAAACTCCTAAAAGTGAAAAACCAGGAAAGGAAAAGGTTCTTGAATTATTAAAAGTAGACAAATGTCCACTGTTACTGTTTCATATTTCATTATTAGATTATTACTACTCAATCATTAATGTACCTTTTTTAACTAATACATACCTGGAGTAAATTCACAAGCTACCCTGCAGTATACAAAGTCATTCAAACTAGCTGCACCTTTACCAGCTTTGAGAACACTTTCATGATCAATCATTATAAAACATATCATATATATTATTCTGAAATGGACCAATCTGCACAATGACTACTTTTACTGTCGTTACTTTAAATATATTTAGATGAGAATACTTTACTACTTTTACTTGAGGAACATTTTGAATGCAGGACTTTTACTGTAACAGAGTATTCCTACACTCTGGTACTTCTACTTTTACTCAAGTACAAGATCTGAATACTTCTACTTTTACTCAAGTACAAGATCTGAGTACTTCTACTTTTACTCAAGTACAAGATCTGAGTACTTCTACTTTTACTCAAGTACAAGATCTGAGTACTTCTACTTTACTCAAGTACAATATCTGAGTATTTCTCCTTTTACTCAAGTACAAGATCTGAGTATTTCTACTTTTACTCAAGTACAATATCTGAGTACTTCTACTTTTACTACAAGATCTGAGTACTTCTACTTTACTCAAGTACAAGATCTGAGTACTTCTACTTTTACTCAAGTACAAGATCTGAGTACTTCTACTTTACTCAAGTACAATATCTGAGTACTTCTCCTTTTACTCAAGTACAAGATCTGAGTACTTCTACTTTTACTCAAGTACAAGATCTGAGTACTTCTACTTTACTCAAGTACAAGATCTGAGTACTTCTACTTTACTCAAGTACAAGATCTGAGTACTTCTACTTTACTCAAGTACAAGATCTGAGTACTTCTACTTTTACTCAAGTACAAGATCTGAGTATTTCTACTTTTACTCAAGTACAATATCTGAGTACTTCTACTTTTACTACAAGATCTGAGTACTTCTACTTTTACTCAAGTACAAGATCTGAGTACTTCTATTTTTACTCAAGTACAAGATCTGAGTATCTCTACTTTTACTCAAGTACACAATCTGAGTACTTCTACTTTTACTACAAGATCTGAGTACTTCTACTTTTACTCAAGTACAAGATCTGAGTACTTCTACTTTTACTCAAGTACACAATCTGAGTACTTCTACTTTTACTCAAGTACACAATCTGAGTACTTCTACTTTTACTCAAGTACACAATCTGAGTACTTCTCCCACCTCTGGTAGTAGGACAAGTGCATGTTATATTAGACGTGTTCAAACGGACATAGACTCCCTAATGTTGGGTAACATGGCAGCATCTTCACGCCAACAGCTGACGTTATTTTGACTCCTGACAGGATGGATTGTGCAAAAAATGTATCCTAAAAACACAGGCGCCCAGGACAGAAAGCTGCTGTCACACCGAGTAGAGTGAACCTGTGGAAATCTGGCTGTTTCATTATATTAAAGCATCTTAGTCACAATGTGGTCCACCAAAATGATCTGATGGTAATTAACCATGTCATTTGGTTAACTATTGTCACAACCTCTGTCAGGAAGTTCTAATTTGGGCAAAAGGGGGTGGAGCCTGGGTCATTTGTTGTTAACGTGACAAAGCAATGTTTAATGTTTGATATCTGAATTTGAACCCGCCCTGTTACCTGCACCTTAAAGGTCACCTATTGTGCAAAATCCACTTGTTCATGTCTCTTCTACATGAACATGTGTCCCCTCTTCTTCATGTCTCTTCTACATCAACATGTGTCCCCTCTTCTTCATGTCTCTTCTACATCAACATGTGTCCCCTCTGTGGAAAGAGACTCTGAAAGTTTCAGGAACAAAGATTCTCTCTCTTTTTGTCCTGATCCATTTATATAAAAACCTGTCTGAAAATGAGCTGATCAGATTTTGGCCACTTTATGATGTCATAACGATGTTTTGGCTTGTGTAACCATTAGCCAATCAGCAACCAAGGTAACTCCTGTAATTTCTAGTAATACTGTTAATACATGTTTACTCTAATTTACTTTTAAATGTTACTTTTATTATTTGTATTACCGTGTAATATTCCATCTGTAATATCTGTCTTCTTGTTCTGTTGCTGCCATGACACTTGAAGGTCCTTCTTATCTTATCTTATGTTGCAATCAAAACATGGACAAAAGGTTTAATGTCTGGAAACGTTTGAGTCCTTGTAGATTTGTTATGTCTCATACAGCATTACGAAGATGAGGCACTGAAATAAATGGAGGTGGCAGTTGAAACAGAATTGCTAACAGCAGTGTAAATGTAAATTGAGCTTTCATTTTCTGTAACAGTGCAGGAAAGAGACAAAATGTAATGTAAGTTGAGGTTTAAGTGACTATATTTAACTGGAAGGGTCAAGTGGAATTCCTCATAGTCCGGGTTAGTTGGTTTAGGTGTAAATTGTATAGTTTTTAGGTATGGAAGTATAAATTGAAGTGTCGGCACTAAAAGTAGTTCAATTGTGAATGAAAAATGGGGGAGAAGAACTTTACATGTGTGTAGTTTTGTTAAATGAAGGCTTGATAAATCAGTAAAGTATAATGCTGCTACTTCACTTTTTATACTTGAAATGTGTAATTATTTTAGTTTTACATTTTCAATATGTGTGCTCACTTTATTAAATACTGTTTTTATACCATATTTTATTTTGTGTTTTTATTTTTTGTATGTGTTCCTCTTCATCTTATATTCTCTGGTTTATTGTTATTATTTATTTCTCTATTATTCCGTTTTTATTATGGCGTTATCTTCCCCATAGTTTTCATATTGATAAACACCCGTCACGCCAGTGTTCCCTTCACGCATGCGCACTACAGCAGCCTGTCAATTCGAAACCAAGCGAGGGAAAACAAACTGCTGCAACCGTAAGTCTTCCTCTCTTATTTCCACCAAGAAAAGCCGTTGTTTCTTCCTCAAAATGACTACTAAAGATGGGGATTTTACCACGTTGTTCCTTCAATTACCTATATTATTCCTGATGTTGTTTATTATTTTGTCGAAGCTTGTTTAAGGACAGTTTGAGTGTGCAGCCAGACCCAATGTGAAAATCCTCGTGTTGTGGGTTGCAGTACTTAAATCCACAAATATACATCAAGTATAGTTTCCTTGTATACATTTTCAAGTCCCTGATGTACCCTTTACAATTCGGCTTGCAATTTATAAACATTTACCCCTTTATGAAACCACTATTTGGTGTTTTTGTTTTGAAGTATCGCTTCCCAGAGTCTTCTTGCTTCCTAAATCACGCCACTCTCCACCGCTTGACTGCAAATGAAAAGTTGAAAATATTATTAAATAACGTGCTTTAAAATGTTTTTATGTAAGCCGAATTCACTAAAAGAGCCACTTATTTCACAAACCAGCTTAACATTTGATTGTTATTGCTGTTTACTGTTGAAAGGAATCAATACAACTTTAAAACTATGGGTTTATGAATGGAGTCCGCTTGACTTTAGGTGAAACTATACAGAACATGTCGCTACGGATTTCTTTGGTCATTAGCTTACTTTAACACTGTTATATAAGCAGTTTAAAGTGTGTACTTGTCATGTGTACAAAGATTTTATTCCTGTTTAAGCCGGCTAAGTTTCCCTCAGTGGAAGTGTTTGCTAAAGTTGGCTAACAGGCTAACTAGCTTTAACGTTAGTAGTTAACTCGTTGTAGCAGCAGATTAGACATGGACTAATTATACCAAATACCACATAAGCTGTTTGTTTGTCGTCCCTTTTATGTTATTGTTCGCTTAGTTGTTTATTATCAAGTAATTTAGAGTGCATGGGTGAAGGGTGACAGGTGCATTAGCAGTGTTGATATTGTCTACTAAGTATACTTGCCTAATTTCCACAATATGTTTATATCATTTTGGGTGGTTAAACCAGTGATATATATACGTGTGAGAAATTCTGTTATTTAACATTTATTGGGTTTAGGTCATTTATTGAAAGCTACCTCTACTTGATATTAATTACTATGCAGGGATTCAATGTAAGCAGTGTAATAATATAACTTTATTTGTATCAGAATTTCCGTTAGAATATTTTTTTGCCGATCAACATGTCCGTTAAAGTTTAAATCTTCCAGACAAAATGAGAAAAGTGCCGGTCAAAGTTCTTCTTTGTAATTAATTGAGCTTTAAAACAAATGTATATGATTTGATAATAAACAAACAAATTATAGTAGATTAACTACATTATTGTCAGTATCATGCAGCTCGCTGATCCAGTAATAAGTGACCCCCGACAGTAAAAATAAACATATCTATAACTAGTTTATGTAGTTTGAGAGGTAATTAAAATAGCTAAGTGTGATTTTCTAACCTGAAGTGTGTGTTTTGCTCCGCTCACCGCTGCAGGTGATCATGCAGAGCTGCGACTCATCAGCAGCAGCTGATCTCTCTCTCCCGTCAGATTAGACTTCACTCGCATTTATGTCCATATCGATCAGATCTAGCTAGTTCTTCTAGCTAATGATATGACTACCTGCTTATTAAAAGACACCTAAACAATAAGCGTCGCTATGCAACCGGGTGAGGCCACAAAGTATAGCGCAGCATTATGCATTTGTTTACATGCCCACCGGAACCCCGAGGCATTACCGACAGATCAACGCACAATCAACCCATACAGGACATCTCTTTCTCCACATTAAATGTTAGACATTAGAATTGACTATTCTTGTCTGTCACATACTATTCTTGTCTGTCACATAAGTGGCGCACATATTTTGACCGGACATTTTGACCGGAGAGATTTAGATTTGCCGGTCTTCAGCATATTTTACCGGTCAAAGTCCGGTAATTACCGGCTAACGGAAACTCTGATTTGTATACCACCTTACATGCAAGATGCATCACAAGGTGCTTTGCAGAGCAAGATAAGATACACAAAACCTAAAATGAATAAAAATAAAGTAAGAAACATAATTTAAAAAAAGTTAAAGGTTGGGTATGTAAGTTTGAGAAACCGGCTCGAGATACACTTTTTGTTATATTCCATGGAATGCTCTTAACATCCCGATAGCAATGAATATCTTAAGTACTTTGACAACAAATCCATAAAAAAATGTCATCTGTGGAAGCCGTAGTACTGTAAAAAGCACGACCAATCATTTTAGCCGGCCCGGCTAAAATAACTGGATGGCCTACCTGCCTGTCAGCCTTCCATCTGTGCACAAACTTATCTCGTGCCCTCATTGGTCATGTGCGCGTTCGTGTGTGTTGGAGGAGGGGCTCTGTAAGGAAGTGGCAGATTTTCTCCGGTCGTGTATTTTCAAATTCCAGCGATCTCGAGCCGGTTTCTCAAACTTACATACCCTACCTTTAAAAGAACAAAACCGATAATCAGAATACCTTTTAAAACCATGAACAGTGATACCACTACAATTACCCCAAATAAAAGCCAAATTAAAAAGATAGGTCGTTAAATTACGTAAAAAAAATTCCAAGGGAGTTTGCTGTTCTAATATCCAAGGTACTTTAGGTACTTTTAAAAGACAGGCATTGGAGTATCTGAGTGTCCTTGTTGGGTTATAAAATGAGAGGCACTGGCCGTTTCTCAATGTCGAGTATACCTGCTGCAGAGCCGCTATTTCAAGTATACTACGTCATCGAGTGGCGCCGAATGCTGGGCATTTAACATGCATTTAAACAGTCCTTCGGCGCCACTCGATGACGTAGTATACTTGAAATAGTGGCTCTGCAGCAGGTATTCTCGACATTGAGAAACGGCCAGTGACTCACTGATGTTGTCTTTGTGACCTTTTTAACCTGTGACCTCTCTATCATTGGTTGCTTGGCATGTACAAACTAGAGCTTATTAACCACATTGTGATTCTCTCCGGTTGACAGTTTTATCTTAATTCCTATAAAAGTAAACGGTCCTCGAGCAGCAGGAGTAGGAGAAGTCATCACCGGTGAATTCAGTCGTCTCGCCCTTAATGGCCCACTTTAAAGCTTATTTCCCTCTTATGTCTTCCGAGTCCTCTGTTGAAATAGGCTGTGATTGTGTTAGAAAACAGCTCTCTGTTTTTACGGCTGACGTTTTATTGAGGTGCTGCTTGGTTAATCCAATGGAGGGATGACAGTGCGGGGCCTAATGACTCAGAAAATTGATTTTTGCTGTTTTACTGTGTTTATTTTAGAGCAAATGATTGGAAATTGCGTCGCACACTAGTTTATTTTCTCAAAGGAAGTGACTGCATGTATTTAATAGAAGTGACTGCTGCACAAAATGACATTTTTCTCCTATTGAGCCGTTGTATAGCATGTATTTGCAGTGTGGGTGTCTGCATCATTCCTGTCCTATTGGAGTAATCGTAATTACGAGTGTATGAACTGTAAAACTTCACTTTGATCTATCCAACCTGTAACTGACTGATACAAGTGCCTCAAAAGAAAACAAACGGATGCCATTTCAACCATAGTTAATGGATATTGTGGGATATTGTTAGTGAACAGTATTTTAATTCTCATTAGACCAACTCTTATAATTCCCATCTCTACCATTTATCCCATAAGATGGAAACCTGCTGTTATATTTCTTGGCATGGATGATTTAATAAAGGGCAGTCACCTTTTGCAATATAGGAAACATGGATCAATTGCTCTGAACTAAACGTTTAAAAAAAAAAAAACGTCTTTCACAAGTACAACAGCATGAGGTAACATCCATTATCCTGTATCAGAATGTTCCTCTTTTAAGCAACACATCAGCTATCTTCTTGTAAACAGATTAAAACAAAAATGTTTGTTAAGATATTAGTAGTTCTCCCATGTTGTTATACTTGTCCGGCAGTGGCTCAGTCAGTAGGGGCTTGGACTTCAAGTCCCCGAACAGACCTAAACATGGAGTGTGGACTGCTACTTGGAGAGGTCCCAGTTCACCTCCTGGGCCCTGCCGTGGTGCCCTTGAGCAAAGCACAGACAAACACAGCTCTCAGCGGTTCTTACAGAAATTGTATGCAATTTCTTTATCATTAAACACTTGCCAAAGAGACTCAAATTCACTTTTAAACCTACATTGCCTAAAACCTGCTAGTAGAAGCTTTATTTCTAGCCTTTTGCTGATGCACTTCTACATTTCCTGGCATGTTACCGGTACCCCAACAAATGGTATAGAAATGGTTGTGAAAAGTAATCTGAATCAAGTCCATGTGCAGAGACGCTTGCAGTTTTGAGCGCTGGGACACTCGTCAATTAATTTGTGAGTCGAAGCAATCAGAATATTCTGTAAAATCATCAGATTATATTTCCCTCGTTGATGTGAAGGCCGAACAGATGAAAATTGAACCCGGGCTCTGTGGATTTCTTTGATTTTTAGAGGCTGCAACCTGACAGTATGCAGTGAGCCGGTCTGTGATAATCTAAACTCGACCGCAGCCAATAATATACCACTTCGTCGCCCAATCTGAATCCAATCCTTAATTGGCCACAGCGAGTGCTACAGCAAAGAGAAAGTACTTTAAAAGACAAAATAAAATGAGTTGACAAACATTATTTAATAAAAAGGCAAACACACAATACTATAATAGTCAAATCAATAAAGATCCATAGTAAAAAATAAGTAGCAGCATTATAAAGGTAGGTTGACGTAGCTGCCATAAATAACATTCATTATTTGTAAAGAATACATGTATGTATATATATCACACAGTTTTATTATACAACATTGCTTTTATAGTCTGTATTAATGTGCGACTAAATGTTTGCCTAAAATTCCTTGCACAATCTCTTGCTTCATGACAGAAGTGCAAGAACCAGAGGCTATATTTACACTTTTATCAAATGTAGTTGAAGCTACAGGGAGTATGAGCAGTGCTACAGACCACAGCAGGGGACACATTTACTAAGTGATGTGATTCATTAAAC